TGTTCTCTTTTCAGGTCATGCTTGATGGGGCCGTGAATTTTGAGGCCGTGGATCGTCGTTAATAGCAGATATTTTGTGATTTTTATGATGAATTTGGGTTATTATATTTGTGTAAAATATTTCTATAATATATTTTTTGGTTTCGGTTATGAATTTATCCAATAAAATTATTGATATACCTAACCAAATACGTTTAAATTACTTTTTTTTATTCCTCCAAATATTTTCGACGTTGTTTTGTATTTGTCATACAGTGTGTCTACGTAAGTTAGAACCATATGGAAAACTTTTTTATTTTTGGTTATGTGAAAAAATTTATTCTAGATAAAAAGTCCTGCATGGTCCAAAACTTAAAATGCACAACCATCAGATATCAATTTTTTTTGGGCTGCATACGAGGTTCGCCAAAAAAATACGAATTTTACTCAAGAGTAAAGTACCTTTATGTTCTACAATACAGAAGAATATTATAAAGTAAAGTTATTTTAAATTAAAAGTTATATTTAAATATGCAATTACAGCCATTTAGCATTAAAATTCAGGTTTGGTGATTAATTAATTTATAACTACAAACAATTTATAATGTAAAACGTAAATAATCACCTTATCTAAATTTTTATGCTAAATGACTGTAACTGCATATTTAAATATAACTTTTAATTCAAAATAACCTTACTTTATAATATTCTTCTGTATTGTAAAAAATAAAGGTACTTTACTCTTGAGTAAAATTCATATTTTTAGACAAACCTCGTATACGGCTTAAAAAAAATTATATCTGATGGTTGCATTTTAAGTTTTGGACCGTGCAGAACTTTTTATCAAAAATACATTTTTTCACAAAACCAATAATACAAAAGTTTTCCATATGGTTCCAACTTAAGTAGACATACTGTATAACTAATACGTACATTTTTAGATGACACATTTACATACCTTCATTTATATAACATTTATAATACTAATGTTATATGAAAAAAGTAATGTATATGTGCTGTAATAATGAAGCATATTCAATGTTACAATGGTAATATAAATGTTACATGTCTTCCGATATATAACACTGTTCCTTACATGTACTTAACCCATTACATCACATATAAGGAACCTGCTATATAACAAAATTAGGTCATTTTTCACAGTAATCACGTGAGTTATTATGTAACATGTAAGTTACTTTGTTATGTAACACGGAACTAGTACATGTAAATGATACATATATGTTACATGTTTGGGTTTGCTGGGCAGTAAGAGATGAAATTAAGGGTTAACTAATCATGAAAAAATGTACATTGTAGAAATTAAAAATCGACCTGTCGAAACACTTATAACTGTTTGGTTTTAGAACTTTTTTACAGTTTTAACACAAGCCTACTCTACATTAATTATAATTATTGTTAGTTTCGTTTTGTCAAATCATTTATACTAGAGGTGTGAAGAACAGACAGTGAACTCTGGAACGTCAATATCGTTGGGTGCGCGTGGTAGAAATGGTTCTCTAATGCTGCTAAAAACATAGCTAAATTTTCATGAAAACACTGTACTTTTGACATTTGCGATACTTGGACGCATATGCATAATTGAAATAATCTCATGATTTTACAGTACTAGTTTTTGCAATTATAATGTGTTTTTAAGGTTATTACGGTTATTCGTTTTGTTTGGTTCCGATCTTGTGCGCTTTTAGAGTATTTGTCTTTTATAGTTATAGTTCTTAATTTGAATTTTAATTGTGTGGTCTATTTATATTTGATTGCTGCTTTTCGACTAGTGCTTTATTCTTTTTGTGTTAAAATAAGCTTCATAACCATTAAGACATGCTTCTAGTTGATATCTACCTAATCGTCATCTGGTGCTTGTAACAATGGGAAAAAGTGTATGGTTTTTTTTTGGTGTAAAAGTAAGAAGCCTTCATTTTTCAGGTTAGTTATTTTTAGTTATTGTTTACTTAAAAGGATAGCAATACGTCCTGGTTCAGGGTGTGACTGTGTTGGGTTTTAGCTATCTGAGCCAAATTGTCGGCTAAGTGTCCTCTTTTGGGACACCCAAAACCAAAAATTATATAGTTATATATCAGGTTTTTTTTAAATTATTTTTTAATAGATATGCAGCTTGGATGAGGGCTATAGGAAGAGATCCTAAGGCTGAAACGCTGACTGCTATAAATGCCGTTTTTAGAGCACATTTCATAGAAAGTGACTTCATTCTAACAGGAACTAGGAAACGTTTAAAAACATGCTGTACCAGCTATTACTTTAAGACCTCGTCTCTTTAGTAAGTTAATATTGCTTCATTCTAAAGCATATATTAAAATGGTTTTTAACTTGCGCCCTTATGATTAAAAGATGAAGGTATTTTAGTAATGTTATAATAGAAATATATGATACATTGTATTGACCTGCTGGCCACTGGTCATTCCACTTTTACTCCCTTTTTTCATAAATTGTCAAATTATTTAAAAACAAATACATACCTAGCTATTTTCTGTAACCTACATTAAAAATAAAAAAAAAAAACGTATTTCTCATCTATTAAATTGTTATTAACGATAAAGGGTACTTTTAATTTATTAAAACAAAAATAAAACCTGAATCGATAACTTAAATCAGTGAAAATAAGTTGCTTGAGATGGGGTCGTTTTTATGGAAAATTTGAGTGTTAATACTTTACTAATAAAACTATAGTTAATTTATCTTATATATATACAACGGAAGAGTTAATTGGATTTTCTTCTTGTTGAGTTTCAAAAACAGTAATTTAACATGATTTAAAAACAAATACATGAAATGGGCAAAATAGGCCTGCAAAGGAACTTTGTGCACAATATCACCTGTATCGATGCGACGTAACGCGCAAATTCAATCTGGCTTACTTTTGTTAATAGATTGACGTTTCATTTTAAATATACAGTTCACTGGGAAAACATTATTTAATTATACACGGACCGGGAAAACAAGTACGAAAAAAATCACTGGCTCCTGGACTAGTACTGTATGGAAGGAATTTTATGAATGAAACAAATTACGACCCTACTACAATAACGATCTACTCTAGTTACGCTGTTGTCAGAGGTTATTTTTATTTTTTTTTTTTGATAATTTAAAGACCTAACAGTATTGCAAGCAAACGTAATAATTACATTACTACAGATAAAAACATCGCAAACTTGGCATCAATATTTTATTCAAATATTGCATTTCTGTCGAGGATCATCCGCGTTGACTTCAGAAATTTTGTAAATAATCATATCTGTCTTGGTTATATATCTATGGTTAAAAGCACGTAAACTTGGCATCAATATTCAATCAAATTATTGTGTTTCTACCGCGGACGCGGACGTTGATTCTTCAAAAATTTTGTAAATAATCCTATCTGTCTTGGTTATATATCTATGGGCGCGCGGATTCTCAGTCCGCAGCGCTTTTTATTTGTTATTCGCCGCGTAACCCACCCTTTGCCAAATCGGCGCATTTCTGTATACTTTAAGCATCAAATTAGTAGTAGTATATCAAAGTTTGAAGCGTGAGTTTATTTTTGTTCTTATGTTATAAAATATTGCGTAGTGAGATTCCGCCGCCAGTTGCCATTCCCATTTTTGACCACACTATTAATATATGTGGAAAGTTAATGTGTCTGGAACATTTGACACCTATATGTTTGGAATGTCACAGTGAATAGTTTTATAATAAGTTTATATTTTTTTGTTTATATTATGTTGATTTTATGTTTTTAGTAGCTAGTTTTCTGATGTATTTCTAATAATTCCAAAAATACATGTTCCTCTATGTTTTTATATTGCGAAATTAATGTTGTTTAATTATTTTTGATGCTTTTAAATAAATAAACAAAAATAATTGCAAACTATTTTATAATTGGCTCAAATCTATTATGTGGACTCACAGTCCGCCGCCATCGCCGGATCACAAAAATTTCACGCCAGTCCCGGAAGGTTAAACCGATTCCACACTGTGATAAAAATTTCAAATACATTTAATGAATTAAGGAGTTCTTTTTTGATAATAACCTTCTTCCACTTTTATCCTGATTAAGAAACAGATAAGTTTCCAATTTTTTAAACAATAAAAAAATATAATATTTCCATCAGACGTATTAATTCCCCGCCTAATAGTCCAACTACTGGTTACGCTGCTGATTCTTTACATTTGTATTTCGATTTGTAGAATAGTATGCCCGCTTCGGGACTGTGAAACTGTGTTGCCACAACTCTGAACAGAAATTCTCGCAAAACATTGATATATTTTATTTTTTTTAGTGTTTGTTGTTTATTTTTTATCAAGTTTTTTTCTAATAATAAATATTTTTTTTATTATTTACTTTATTTTTTTAAGGAACCTATTATTTTCGATACTGTCTGTTCCTTGTCAGAGCAATTATCACGTTGTTTTCTAAATTTAGATAGGATGTGCAACAGTGGCATACACTGTTGTTTTGCAATGCCTATAGTTATTTCGGATTTCCAAAAATGTCAAGCTTATACCTACAAATTATACCAAAGATCCCAAAAACAGACACTTTTGAGATAGTCCACAAGCAATTTATGAAATGATTATAGGTATTCTAATTCTACTATATCTTTCATAGGTATTTATACTATTCTCGTTTTCTTTAACGTAGTCTTCCTTTTCTGTTTGTTTCTCAGTCTTGCTTTACGAACTTCTTCTTCGTACCATTTATATAAAGCATAAAATCTGTTTTGGTATTTTCTAGGTCTTTCATAATGATCTTATTCTTTATTAGGTTGATCACTTTTTTAGAGATGTCCTTTCCACTTTCCTTTCATTCATTAATTATTTCTTCATCTAGTAAGTTAGTCCAAATCCATATGTTGTTCAATTTAGTACTCGTTAGAATTGATAGGAATCCTTTTAGTTTAGGTTCAATTTTGTAAATTCCTTTTCCTTGCATGAACTGTATTTGTTCCTTTATGACGCTGTTAAAGGCAGTTTTTATTTTAAACATGCTAAACTGTTAATATGCAGCTCTTTTGTTATTTAGGCATGTGTAAGATATTCTCCCTATATTTTATAACAGATAGGTATGAGGGTAGGTATAGGTATCACACCTGTGGGCGGTTGAAAGAAATAAAAATGACCGGCCACGATGCCAAATTCGCAGGTGTGGCAACGCCGTCGAAGACACTAACGTCCCATCCATCCCCAGTCCGTTATTCAACAGTCAACGCAACGAAATATATAACGATATTGTGAATGCGTTGAGCGGTGATAGTTTCATAGTACCTATATCGGCAATCATGGCGGCGATACACGTCTTGTTGGTTTTAGTGACAGTGATAGTGCAACAAAGTAAGTGCTGCAACACGCCCATTGGCGGGATAATACTAAAAAACAAGATAAGGAATGTCGCATTGGTCTTTATTAGCCGGTTGAATTGATAGAGCTTGATAAGATGATAAGGAGATAGACGCTACTTTTGGTTTGATTTGTTTTTCTAAAAATATGATGATATCATACGATTGCTAATGTTTACATATTCGAGGTTACACCCATTTTTCTGATGTTGTTTTTGAGATAATAGGTGGTTTTCTGTTGTTGTTTATGGTTTAATTCGTATGATTGTTCCTTGATATTTTGGTCCTTCTGATGCAGCTTGTGACGCTGGCGTTATTAATTATAGATGATATCATGAATTGATATAATTTACTGCTTATAGTTGATTTAATTTTGATAAGTAGGTATATGACTATTGAAAAAAATACATAATTTAAAGTGATTGTTATATATACCCTAATAAACAATTTATATAAATAATATTCACATACCTACCTATAAACGTTCAAAAAAATATCGTAATTTTTTAAAAGACACACTGATCATAATGACGTTTAGATTGAATTAATGTTTGTTGATACATCAAAATTAGAAGAAAAAATACATGGGATATATCCAAATCTGGAATTCATACAAAAGTTTATTTATTTGTTTTGTTGTAATTTGACCAAATTTTAAATACTAATAATAATAAATTCACAGAGTCAGCATACAATAATTAACATATTATTTTAAATCTAGATAATGCTGAAATATAAGAATATATTTAATAAAACAGCGCAATACTGTTCCACGATTTTTATTAACAAAATTAATGAGCATAGAAGGAAGATAAATAAAAAACGTATAAAATTAGGGTAAATTTCTAGTTTGATCTATTTACGATTACGGAAAACTAAGCACATGTAGGTATCCAGGTACCTGTAGGTAGGAATTGCTATTGTAAACAAAAACCCTAAGTTCTATATCTTATCCAAATTAATAATAAGGACACAAATAATTTTTTAAACCAAAATATGCCATTTTAAATTAATATTATTAATTTTTCAGGAAAGGGTGGGTAAAACAACGTCAAATATTATAAAATATTGTTAAGACAAGGAAAATTATTAGAAATTAATTGGTAATTGCTGTATTTTTGATAAAATTGGATAGTGAATTTTTTGTGCCACTTGGCAACGTGTAAGACGTAAAAGTAGCATCTCTGACAATTTTGAAATATTTTTATTTTAAAAAATTAATTGAGTCGTTATTATTAATTTGCACAAGATATGGAACTACATAAGATTTTTTGTTTACAATAGTGATACCTACAAGTACGTATGCTTAGTTTTTTCATGAGCGAAAAGAACTCAAACTAGACAATGACCAAAATTAACTACCTATCAGTCTAGCTACCTAATTTCTTTAGGTAACAAGGAATAAATGCTCATAATAATATATGTCTGATCTATTTTTAATGAGTTTATAGGTATTTGAAAGCCTATAAATGTCTACCAAATTAACATTGGTAATATTAGTAAGTATTTTGAGTTCCAGTTCATATTGAAATAAAAAAGGTTCAACATTTTATTTAATTCAAGATAAATTATAAATAGACAACATAATTAATAATTTATGAATAACATGATGGTATTTGTAATACATTGACATAAATGTCTTGCAAATTAACAGTCACTAAATCTTTGAGATAGTGAAGTTATTAGTAACTGTTATGAATCACTTAAGATTGGAATAAAAGATTATTTCTATTTAAAAATTATTTCAACATAAAAATGGAAAATTAATTTATTTCGAAAACTATTAGGTACAATCTTTATAAACATTAATAATTTTTAAACATTTGAGATAACCTTTGTACTTAATATATTTATAATGATATAAAAATTGAAGATTAAGTTATTGTCAAAAATATTACAATCTATATAAACATTTTTAATAATTTTAAACAAATTTGAGATCTTTTCTAATATATTTATACTTAGACAAAAATTGTTCAACCAAAAAATAGTCGCTATGAACGATAGCTACAAGAACACAGCTATGAGAATATCTATAGCAGAAATTTTCTGCAAATAAAAAAAGCAAACTAAGTTTTCAACATATTTATTTGGATGCTTTTTTCCTTTATTAAATGCATTTTGCACCCGCTGGAACCATTTATCCAATAAAACCATCTTATTTAAAACGCCTCTAAAATATGAAAGTCTGTTAAATATGAGATTTAGAAAAAATAGGTAGGTATACAGTGTGGAACAGCCAAATGGAATAAATTCGGTAATAAACAAATGAAGGCGTGTTGGAAAAAACGCTCTGACACGTCGATTGGTATTTTTAGTTGCGCATTTCTTTTACAAAAAATTTTTATACAGGGTGTATCATGTAACAGTGGCCAATACCAACTTTCTTATTTAAAATGCAACACCCTGTATATTTTTTAATTTTTACATTCTTCAGAAAATTCTAGACTTATTTTGTGTACTATGTCCCATACCTAACTGTTTCGAAAATATTAAATGTTTTGCAATTTATTGCAAAAATTAACATTAACAAAATAAAATTGATTACAGAAATTAGCTACAACACACTCAATAATTATTTTACACTTAGGTCTTGATAATGAGAAAAAAAATACTTGTGGCACTCGGGGACTGCCGCGGTAAAGCTATTGCATAGCATTTTTTTATCAACTTATGCAATTATAACACCGGCACAAAAAAAAGTGCTCTGTTCTTTTGACCGGACCCATCTATCTCTATGTATTTTGACCCGCTGAATCCGAATCTGAGGTCAGTTTGGCCAATACACCTCCAAAATTTCGAGAAAACTTTAAAAAACCGAAAAAATTGACGAAAATCGGCAATTTTGGTGATAGAAAAAATTTTAAGGACCTAAACCAAGCATGATTTTTATGTATTTCGATCCGCTGAATATGAATCTAAAGTTTACTTAGACCGTAAGCCCTTTAATATATAAGTAAATTCCAAAAAACCCTCAAAAATTGCGATTTTTATGAAGAAATTTTTTTTTTTTCGAAATTTTTCATGATTCTCATGTATTTCGATCCGCTGAATACGAATCTCGAGCATATTTAGTCCATACATACTTAAAAATGTACGTAAACAGCAAAAAATCCCCGAAAATTTCGAAAAATTGGAGTTTTCATGATGAAAGAAATAGAAATTATTCATGATTTTTATTTATTTTGATCGACTGAATCTCAATCTCGAGCGTAGCAATTATTATACGTAATAGTCCTGGAATGAAATCTAAATGTAAGGTCCATTGAGCATTCCTTTTTCTAATTTGAGAAAGCGAAAAAGGAACCCTTTACGTAGGTCATTTGAAGACAAAAGGATTCGATATAAGCGAAGAAGGGTTTGAAATCATAAAGACAAAAGTTTTTTGAATTATTTTAAGTGCAATTTTTATAATTTTTTATAGATTTTTTGCAATTAACTAAAATATTTTTAGGGCTCCGGGCCAAATAAACTTTAAATTTATACTCTACAGATCAAAAAAACATGTAAAATACATTTTGTTTGTATTTAAAATTTGATTTTCATCATAAAAACTCCAATTTTTCGAAATTTTTGGAGATTTTTTGCTGTTTACGTACGTTTTAAAATATGTATGTGCTAATATGCTCGAGATTCGTATTCATCAGATCGAAATATATGAGAATCATGAAAGATTTCGAAAAAAAATTTTTCTTCATAAAAATCGCAATTTTCAGCAATTTTTGAGGGTTTTTTGGAATTTACTTATGTATTAAAGGGCTTATGGTCTAAGTAAACTTTAGATTCATATTCAGCGGATCGAAATACATAAAAATCATGCTTGGTTTAGGTCCATAAAATTTTTTCTATCACCAAAATTGCCGATTTTCGTCATTTTCTTCGGTTTTTTAAAGTTTTCTCGAAATTTTGGAGGTGTATTGGCCAAACTGACCTCAGATTCGGATTCAGCGGGTCAAGATACATAGAGATAGATGGGTCCGGTCAAAAGAACAGAATTTTTTTTTTGTGCCGGTGTAATTATTTATTTATTTTATTTATGCAGTATTTTTTTCTTTGATATTAATTCAAGTTTTTTCTTTGATATTAATTCAAGTAATACTTTTTGAGCGTGGTGACCGATAAGAAAACAATGTTTTGCCTTTTATTGAATAAATGAGAAGTTAATATTGTTTAAAATATTTTTATTATCTTACAATACATGTAGGTTATTCAGGAATTTTTATCATTGAAACTATAAGTTTATGGTAACTGAAATAAGAAACATAAGTTTGAGACTTGATATCCTCTAAATATCTGGAAAATACCGCGTCAATGGTGGTCCCATATTTAGTTATGGATTCTTGGTATCATTATTCATTTTCAAATTCAATTTTTCCGAAATTGTGTCTAAAAGAGATAGAATCAGTTATGAGCAGTTAGCAGCTAGCCTACACGCATACGTCTAGTCGCACGCACACAAACACCGTGCCGAAGTCGATTTTTCGAGGGTGTTAGGTTTATTTTCGTTACGGAATTTCTTGATTCGGTCGCCGCGCTTAAAGCAAAATCTATGCAATAGCTTAAAAAGCAAAAACCATTTCAGCCTTCCTTTTTACTGATATGAAATAAAAAAAGCTATACTTAAATAGTTTTGTTTAAAACGCCTGACCTTAGCAAATTGTTATCTGACTGTATGACAGTAGTTGTCAGTGTTATAGTCTTTTGAATTTCCTTAACTGCATATCAGAAAAATGGTTCATTTAACAGAAATGCATAAAATAACAATTTTGTATATTCCAAGGGATAATTAGTAAAATAGAGAAGCAGTTTCGCGAGCTTGGACATGTAAGGCAGATAAAAAAACAGCTGCCAATTCAATAACTAATGGTGCCAAATTGGATATTATGCTTCAGTTTCAGGAAAATCAACATACTTCTAGTCGACAAGCAGCCCCAAAGTTAGATATAAAAAATAAAATGCATCCCTATAAAATAATAGCAACCAGGAGCTGATGGA